TGTGGGCCACAAAGAATTGCACTTAGCCTCAAAATGCTGCATACAAATTATGCAATTAGTTGAGCCGCAGGCAACTAAAATTGAGACCAAGCCAGATATTATGTGCTTGACAAAGTAAGCGCTAAGCTAAAACTGAAGTTTCCGGCGCTGGCAGTTGTCAAGTCCAGTGAAATTGTCGCTGCCAGCTCAGCTGCGTTGTCTACTTGAGAAATAGTCAAAAATCCCTGACAAATTGTCAACGAAAGTTTTTTGTTGAGCCCTAAACTTTTCAACTGTAGAGCTGTCTGCGCTTGGAAAGTTTTCCCCAAGGGTCTGCCAGGACTGCTGACATGTTCAAGAAATTATTGCTTCTTCATATACGCATGCACACAAAGAAATGAAAACGTTGAAATGAAAACGGGTGGTTAAGAATCTAATGAAAAATATTGCAAGAGACTGGCCGAATTGATTTCCAAGTTTTTCAAGTGGCAATTAGTCCGGACGCTTGCTAGAAGCGTTGAGCACAAAGGAGTTGAAGAAGCTTTGAGTGACAGCACTTAAACTACGTCGTCCTTGCGTATATTCTAATATCTGCATTTTGGTATAGACCAAAGTAAGATTTGACTTTCTTTTGATTTACTTTTGTATTCAATTGCAACGTTCACTTGCTATTTTCTTCTTTTTGCCTTACCTACTAAGTTACAATTAGATGCTCACCCCCTTCTCTCTCTCTGCATGTCCCTATCTCTGTCTCTCTGCTTCTATCTAGCTCTGAGGTTGTCGCTTAGAAGATGGCTTTGTATCCAGCTGCACCCTCAAAAGTTTATGCTGGAATGGCAAAAGTCTGCGGATAGTCAAACAAAAACATAAACGAGACACACACACACACACACACAGATATATAGAGTAGCAGGCAAATATCCAAAATTCTTATTGCTCTAAAAGGAAAAAGAAATGAACGAAGTAAGATATATATGCACAGATATACACATATACATATATATAGGTTAGCATAGGGCAAATAAAATGCCAACGAACGGAAATGAAATTGCAATTGCTGGGCCATGCAGACGACGCCAAGTCGCGACGCGTTCATGCAGAACTTGTGGGTTGGCTGTGGCACACGCAGCTACCTATTGAACGCATCCATTTTGCTTTTACTCTTATTCTGTGTGCCTGTGCGGCTACTATGGCGGCATTTCCATTTCCGCTATGCTCTTACTTAACGCCTCGGTGTATGCAATAAAGTTTGTCACGGATCTGCAGCGCTGGCAAGGACTTAAAAGCAAAGCATGCCCGCGCGGACAGGGCAAAAATTCCTGGGTCGCCAAATCTCCGAGAAGACTAAATCGTGTGCAGGTTTTAAACAAGTAAAGAACGCTTTGGTCGAGTATGCTCGACAACAAAATTCCTAGTACTCCTAAAACAGTTTAAAATTTTGGAATATTGAAGTCTTTGAATTATCAAATACAGCCCAATATGAAGTCCAGGGGTTAGGAGATGCCTCTATCAAGCTGTTACATATATTTACACAAATCCATTATACCCTATTTTACCCTTGTCGAATGGGTAAAAGCGCTCAGAAGGCCGACGTGCAATGCTCTTTAGCAGCTCTAAACGCCACCCAACACGCACACACACATACAGACACACACAGGCACACATACGCACCAGCGCACACACACAAACGCTCATTAGTTTAGCGGTGGAAACGCTGAGAGCAAAGAAAGTGTGCGCCCTGGTGCTAAACAAGTTAATTAGTTTGCCTTTTTCCTATTTTGGTGGCTCTAGCTGCGACGTTTATGTGGCTCGCCATGGGTTAAGAGCACTCTATGTACGTGTGTGTGTGTGTGTGTGTGGCTTAGAGTTTATCTTAATGACAAAATAAATTATTTAGCACACACATACATACTACATACACAGACTCGTACTTCAATTGGCTTTATTTACCACCAGAGAGAAGGAAGGGGCAAAGCCGTGCGGCCGCCGCTCACGCCCCAAATGTCACTTTTAAATGTTGCTATTACTTATGTTTAATATCAGCTCACAGTTTCTTACTGGCAACACAGTCAGGCGGTTTTTAATCGTTGGATCCACACAATGGGGGGCATGCAGAGCTTATGTGGACGCATGATCCATGACACTGGCTGCGAAAATAAAATAAAAATCTTTTTCTTTCAGTATTTATTCTTAGTTAAGTCAATCATATAATTATCATGTATTCCATGTAATTAAAAGTTAGAACAATAAATTTGAACTTTGAACAGGACTTTTTGAATTTCAGTAAAAAGCTTAGCAACAGATTAACAAAGTTTTTACCTATATTAAATCTGAAATATTAATGCATGCAAAATAGTTTCTAACTTTAATCAAATGGCATACTATTAGGCATTAGTAAAATGTTGTCATATTTTATTATACTTATAGAAACATTTTCATTTCAGCAAAAGCTAAATTATTAAATCTGCTTTTAGCTCAACAGACTTACATAAGTAGCTTTTACTTATATTAAATCTAAAATATTTATGCATACAAAATGGTTTCTAACTTTAATTTAATTGCATACAGAGCTGTCAGTAAAGTTTTAACGAGAAATAATTAAATATTAAACTATTGTTATTATTACGAGAGTATGCACACTATGTACTTACGTTTGCATAACTGCCATGCCATGTCAACCATGCAAATCATATTTATTATTTTTTTCTATGAAAAAAGTACAGAATACAAATTCTAATAATAAAAAAACAGTAAGAATTTCCAGGGATTGAGAGAAAATTGCTGTACAAAATTTCTGTTCATAAAACTGGACTGAGTGAGAAAATTTTTAAAATCTCTGCACATATTTAACTAAATCTGAAAAATAGGCAATTTGAATTTCAACTGTAAAAAATGTATTCTGATCAAAGCACTTTCCCGTTTTCCGTTTTCCGTTTAACTTTCGCTGGAACTTAAAAAAGTGTGTATGATTATTCGACTTCCCAAGTCAATTTGTGTTCTTTATCAACTGAATTGTTCATAAGAAAAAATATCGTATTAAAAATGTTCCAAATATTTGAAGCCTTCTAGAAAATGGGGAGCAGAAAAAATGTTGAATATAGATTTCATTTTGAAAGATGTTCAACTTTTGAATAATTTGAAAACCAAGAGATCAGTAACCATTCGTAATGTTTTTGAGTGACTTATAATTGTGCTTGCCCCACTGTGCGCCTGGGTAGACATTAGGTAAGTGGGGATTACAATTACATGCAACGACGCTTCAATTGCCTGGGCGTCGCATAAAAACACTTTGTTGCCGCTGGCAAACAGTGGCACGCAGCGAGTCGGTTGTGTAGATGGGCTGATGCTCGTTTAATCTTAGATTTTAATTGCACGGCTATAACGTTCGCCCCGAAGACAAGGCGTTTTTGAGTTGAAGGCGCGGTCGAAACAGTTGCAAGTAAATAGAATTTAATTACAACATGTTTTGCTTTACATTTTGATTGTTGAATTAATTTTAATACGTCATAAATTTCAGGAACGCAATAAAATGTTCATGGCAAAAGCCTGACTAAGCTATAGCACATTTTTTGGCTTTATAGAGAAAAAACTTTCTGTTCGAACTAATTAGTGTGAGTGGACCATTAAAAAGTTGATCCTTCAGTAATGCCGCGAAAGGGGTCTCGGAGGCAGCGGGGCGGACCGTGCTCTCGCGGCTTAAAGTTTGCACCAAAAAAGTGCTGCACAAAGAAATTAAAATTGAAATATAAAACTTGCCAAAGTTTTCACACACACACGATGATGCTGATGCAAGCAGGCTATAGAAAATTTAAAATGCAAAGCGGGGCTCGCAAAAAAATGAAACTGAATTTCAAGTTGGACCACGCCAGGTGGGCGAATGCACCAAACTTGGCCACAAAAAACTTGCAGCATTAAGTGCACTTGCCAACGAGGCCAGGCGAGGGCAAGGTGTTGCACAGGGGAAGGGATCAGGGTGGGTTTGGCACCAACTGCTGCCAGCTCATTAAAAGTAAAAATGATATGCATTAAGTTTCGCAACAGTAACGAGAGCGTTAAAGGTCTGAAACTGCAGTCATTAGACCAAACTTACGCTGCTCTGCTAATGGTCAATGCTAATTGCGTGGAATTCATTTGCATGGCCAGCCACACCTGCGCCTTAAATTTAACTGCGACCCCTGACCCACTGTCACATTTGCCACATAAATTGTCATAATTGTGTGCCACGTACTTGCAACAGCGCCCAGTCCCTCGGCCTGACTCTACTCAGCATCCCTAAAGTATCAATGCATATTTCATCGGCTGACACATGCATTAACGTGTCTAATCGCCAGGCATGCGCCGGACAATGGAAGCTGTATGTGTGTGTGTGTGTTAAGAAAAGGGTGGAGGGGGGCTGGGAGCTTACGAGTGTACGGGCATTCGGCGTTACAGTATAATTTATGTCCTCACATAGCCGAATGCCAGACATTCCGAACATTTCTCAGCTCAGCTGACAATTTGCTGTCACAGGCATGCGAATATTCCACTCGCATATTCTGTTTCCCGCTGGCTGAGAGCTGTTTTAACTTTTATGCTATTGACTGAACGACAGAATTCTCTGTTCAAAATCTGCTGTCAAATTGTTGTCAACATTTTACTGTGCACAACATGGCGTATGCGTCATGTGCATGTTTTTCATAATATATCAAGTAACTCAATAAATTTCTGGAGCTCACAACGGCACCGCCAGTAGCCGCATCCAGATGTGGGTTCGCTTTGAGCCCATAAATCAATTGATAAACTGATAACGGGACTCTGAATGAACACACCATAATTACCCTATGACTCATCAAAAAATAAAAATTGATTTTCCGCCGTCGAGCGAGTCATAAACATTTGTCAGTTCGCATTATTCAACAATTCTTGTAGGCATTACTCAAATTTTCTTAAGCCGAAATTATTGGGTGTTTGCAATAAATGAAACCAATATAATATTTCAATTGCTTGATTCAGTTAGCTTTTTAATAGTTTAATGGCATATACATCATATACATTCTTTGAATATATATGCATATATATCAAAAATTAATAAATAATAAATAACGCATATTCATTGAAATCACACATCGGCAACAGCTGCAATGAGCTTGGTGTAGACCTTAATGCCATGCAGATAGGTATCCGCACGTATATATTCATCGTGATCGTGCAGCAAAATGGGCGTATTGTTCATGGGCGAGAAGCCCAAGGCCGGAATGCCGACAGAGCGCAGGAAACGGCTGTCGGTGTTACCAGGGCAGACATGTGTGCGGAATTTAAGGTTCCTGTTGCCGAGAAGGAAAGTCAAGCAGGATTCACATTACAAGCGCGAGCGTACTTACAGTTCATTCAATGCCTTCTCAAATGCGGTCCAGTACGGATTTGAGGCATCGACCTTTGTCGGCGGTATATATTCGTCTTTCTGTTCGAAGACGATCTCAATGCCACCACCAGCCTCCTCGCACCAGTCGCGTATCTGCTGCTCAAAGGCAACTAGATCCACATCGATGCCAATGCGTAAGTCGAAGACCACCTCGAGCATTGCAGGAACCACATTTCTTTGCACGCCACCAGTCAATTGGGTGAGATTCACAGTGGTCACATCACCAAAGAAAAGCTTCGTATTATCTTTTAACTTCTGCACCTGGGATGCACGGAATCCCATCATCTTGTTCACAATATAGTTGAGCTTCTCGCCGGCGGTGTTGGGCAACAATAGGGAACCATGACCAGCAGTTCCGCTGATCTTAAATCTAATATCTGTAAAACGAAGTTTTTAATACCCTGCAGTGCGCTGTTGCTTTGTAAATATTTACGCCAGCCGGTACGCTCTGCAAAATAGACATAATAGCAATCGTCTAAGCTGGAAGATCCCTCGTCCAGGCTTAAGCCCACATTAAGGGATTTGAAGTAATCTCCCTTTATAAATTCACGCATTCCAAAAAAGCCGCCGGCCTCCTCATCGGGCACAAAGGTCAAATAGACAGTTCGCTTCGGCTGGTAGCCAGTAGCTTTGAGTGCACGAATGGCAGCCAGATATTGAGCTCCCACGCACTTCATGTCCTGCGAGCCACGCGCATAGATACGACCTTCGTCATCCAGATCGGCGGTGAAGGGATCGTGAGTCCACTTTTCCGGGAATACGGGCACAACATCGGTGTGAGAGTTCAGAATGATGCCGGGTAATTCGGGCTGTTTGCCCAGCCATTTCATTATCACGACAGGATTGGCTTCGTTGACGGGATAGACAACATCCACAGGCAGATCCAGGCTGGCTGCCTGACGTTTTAGGAACTCCACGCAAGCGGCTATAAGACGCGTATATTGGGTTAATCTCATTTTAAACACTTTAATGATGCGTTTCCTTCCATAAAATGGCTTATCACGATCCGCCCAATCTGGCAAACTTACTGTAATCTATATTTGGGTGAACCGTTGGTATGCGCAGATATTCACGGAAGATTTTAATTTCTTCATTATTTTCCCACTCGGCTTTGCTCATTTTGTTTGGATTTGTGTAATTATAAACAATTATTTATTTAAACAAAATACGATTCTCAAAATACACTTCTGCTCTACGATGTGGCAGTTGCCTACAGATGCTCCCAGCAAAAAATAAGAGCTCTGAATTGTTTCAACGGTGGCGAACGACTATTTGGCAGTATTATCGGCCCATCGCTTAAATACGAAATGGCGCCATTCACGACGAAGCTTTTTCATTAACAATGTGTCTACTTTTATCATATTTATAACTAAGCCGCCAATTCTTATCAATTTAATGTGGAATTTTCGAATGACCTTTGCCCGAAACTTTTTGGCTAATTACGTTTGTCGACAAATTCGGTAAACATGAAGACTGTATCATATTTTGTAATATTTGGAAAAAATCATTGGTCTGTCTGAGAATCCCAGCCATTTAGGCAATCCTCAAAGTGTTCACGGGCTTGATTCCCAGTCTATTGTATAAAAGTAGTATGTCAATTCTATTGAGAACTGTAACAGCTTTTTCCTACATTCTTTGCGAATCAGGATTTGTGGGAAATAGATTTTGAAAACTCCTAGATAAAGTGGTTCTCTTCGATCCTTTAAAGGGCATCGCTCTCAGCATTATCCGTTCGTTTTTCTTTCTTTCTCAGATTACGAATACATGTAGACTAAATCATGAATCAAATTTGTGGTTCATAAAACATAAATTTATTTATTTTTTGCATGCTTTCAATAAAAATGTTCAATTCCTCAATTCATCAGTTCATGCAAGGTACAAGGCATCGTTGCGATTAACGTACTTAAAGAACTTTTTTTAAAACTTTTCAAGAAGAAGACTTTCAAGCTTATAATTTCGGCGAAAAACTTTTCTGTAGAAAATTCATTAAAAATGTGAGTGAAAAAAAAGTTGTTTGTGAGAAAGTTTAAATTGCTGTCGGAGCGGCTTGCAACCTATTTTCGATCGCCTTCAAACTAAATTCTAAACGACTATGTAAAATACGAATAGACTTTCTTAGAGAGTTTTATTATATTGTTTATGCCTTACATATTAGCAAAAGCTGGAATGAATTTCTTGTGAACCTCAATACCATGCAGATAGAGATCGGCACGTGTGTATTCATCGTGAGCGTGCACAAGGATGGGCATGTTTTTCATCGGCGAAAATCCTAATGCCTCAACTCCAACTGTTCACATGAAGCGGCTGTCTGTGGCACCAGGGCAGACACGTGGTCGGAATTTCAAGTTTCTGTCGGATTAGATTAAATTATCAGCGACGCGATTTATAAACCGACCATGAGCATACTAACAATTCATTCAAGGACTTTTGAAAAGCTGTCCAGAATGGATTTGATGCATCAACCTTCGCCGGTACATATTCATCCTTCGGTATAAAGTCGAGCTCAATACCACCAGCAGCCTCCTCGCACCAGTCGAGAATTTGTTTCTACAATATCCACATCGATCGCAATGCGTATATCGAAGACCGCTTAACTGGGTGAGATTTACGGCGGTCACATCACCGATGAAAGGATCCGCATCATCCGGCAGCTTCCTAACCTGCGTAGCCCGAAACTCCATCAACTTGTTCACAATATAGTTGAGCTCTTCGCCGGCGGTGTTGGGCAGCAGCAGGGAGCCATGGCCTGCTCTGCCGCTTATCTTAAATCTAATCTCTGTAATTATATTGGAGGTCATAAGCCTGTTGGTCACCAGATTAGCTTAACTTACGCCAGGGGATCCGCTGGAAGAGCCCTCATCTAAGCTGAAGCCCACATTCAAGTTCACAAACTCGCGCATGACCAGATGTCTGCCAACCTTCTCATCGGGCACAAAGGTCACATAGATATTTCGCTTTGGTTGGTAGCCGCTAGCCTTAAGAGCGCGAATGGCGCCCAAGTACTGAGTCCCAATGCACGTTGTGTCCTGTGCGCCACGAGCGTAAATACGACCTTCGTCATCCAGATCGGCGCCGAAGGGTGCGTGTGTCCACTTCTCGGGGTACACAGGCACCACATCCATATGCGAGTTCAGTATAATGGAAGATAGCTCAGCCTGTCGTTTCACAAACTCTGTGTTTGGGTGCACATAGGGAAGATTTTGATTTGCTCATTTTGAGTTCTGTGTATGTGTCTGAAACTGAAGTCTCCGGAGATAGCACCTTGCTATTGCTGATAGCGTATGGCTAGGACTGCTGGCTGGGCATGATTGGGCACCCATTTCCATTACCATTCTGCCCGGATGGCGACATCGACATTGTACGCGTACATTTGTTGCCAATGGGTTGATTTTATTTTTATTTTTATTTTTTTATCAGATTTATGACTCTCGGTGTTTGTTTGTATAAATTTGACTGATATGATTCTTATCTGTTTGATTAATTTGGTTGCAAATGAGCCCATTATCAGATTTGTTTTTCTGTGCAATCTTTGTTATAACACATACATTAACACTGGGCCATATATAGTGTACAGCTTTCAATGAATTGAAGGCAAGGCATATGTTATTCTCCAATAAACTAATGTTAGAAATCCCATACGAAGTACGCTTGTTCTTCAAACAACATTTTAAAAGTTTCAAAATCTACGTTTGAACATGTGAACGAATGAAATGTAAAGATAAAATAAATTCCATTAATTAGGTCTTTGTTTACCCATCGAGAAATTGAAAGATTTGTTATTAATAAAAACGTACGCGTATATAGAATACAAAGTTGTTGTTTTTATATCAGACTTCAAATATTTTTTGCTTTCTTCTTATCAGCATGTTTGCTGATGTTTTCTTTTTAACAAAGCTAGTTATCTTTTGGGTTTATGGGCACATGCTTAAAATGCCTGCGGCTTGTTAAATATTTTTTTAAAATTTATTATAATACGATGCTTAGAAAAATGCCTACTCTATTTTATGTAGAGATCTGCACATGCTAAAATAAAATTCCTAATTTACGTATACGTTCACTAGCACAAGCTTATTGAATATATACTCATCTAGTACGATAAGTTTAATCTAATATTTCCTACACATTTTGATGCTGATAATTCACAATAAGTAGAAGAGCAATATAGATTAACATATTTTCGCCAAGGAGCCTGAGGAAAAAACTGCCTTAGAAAATGTAAAATGTATTGACAAGTTAATTTAAATTGAAAAAAGATTGATTGTTTCTTTATATAATATTCAAGAATTTCACATAAGTTGTTGTATTTTATATAAATTTTATTTTATTTTTTATAAAATAGTTTACATTCTTTTGATTTCTTTAAATGCGTAAATATTCACGGAAGATTTTTATTTCTTCATCGTTTTCTATTATTCATTTTTAAATTGTTGTATACCAATGAGCACAATTTGTTCTTTAAATATAGTACGTTCGCAGCCGTTCAGGGTTCGTCTACGTATGTGAATACATTCCGTTTCACATTCCCATTAAATAGCCGAAGATACTTTTTTTTCTAGTCGGCTTGGTGCCCAAAAATTGTGGTTTTAACTTGCTATCTAGAATTATATTGTGGTTATTTATCCAAACTAATATAGTTTGGGTCTTTGTTATGGATATTATTTATATACCCTGCAAAGAATGTGCAGATGTTTGTAACCGGCAGAACGAGTCCTTGACCAGCTCATAAAATGTATATGAATATCCACGATGACCATCAACAGTCGAGTCGACCTTGCCATATCCGTTTGTTGGTCCGTCCGGCATTTTGTGACATTTCGCAACTGGGCAGAGTATTTCATATTCGGACTAGAGCACTTTGAATTGTTTTTATCAAAACTAGATACGCGCGGCTATCTTTCGGGTTTATGGTTATGGCTGTGGCTTGAAATGTCTGTGGTCAGTAAAACTTTATATAACGCTAGATCTAGATCTAGATTTATGCAAATATCTGAAGAGGCACGTGTCCAAATAAAAGTCAGACTATAATATACGTTTAGTAGTGCACCAAATTTTATAAATTTATTATGTTCCGTTAATAATAATTTTAATAATAATTTTTATCAAAAAAGGAGCCTGAAAAAAGATGATTCAAAAAAAAAAAAAATGTTGATTGACAACTTGATAAAAATAAAAAAAAAATGTTGCTGCTCCCTACAAAATAATCTAAATTCTTTTAGGGCTAGTCTTGCAACCAGTTATGAATTTCCTTTGTAAATGTTTGTCAGAGCAAAGGTAGAACAAAAGTACTCAAATTCGAAGACTCGGCTTGTGATATTCAATAAAAAAAAAAAAAAACAAAGAACTTCGGCAAGGTACAAGAGCCGACACTTCTGCTAATCTTAAATCAGTTAAATTATTCGTGTTCATATAAATACTTGTGGGTCACCAAAATTGCTCATTTTGAGTTCTAAAGAACGTTGGTTTAGTCATTTTATCGAATGTTTCGAATGCTTCAGCAAATATCACCTTCTGCCCATTATCAGCGCATGTCTACGCCTGGGGGCTTGGTGTAAGCCCCGACGCCAACATCGATAGCAAAGTTCATATAACTATATATGTGTAACTGTATGTTTTTTTTTTATCACTTTTCTAGCTACCCGTCTTTGTAATCGTAAATTTGTCTGATATGCTTCTTATCAGTGTATTTAATGTGCTTGCTAATTAAGCCATTATCAAACGTTTAATCAATACATCATTTCAAACTGTGCGCAGACACTGCTTCAACTACGTTAATTACTGAAGTGGGGATCAATCAAATATAATGTATATAAATCAAAATTAATTAAGTCGAATGGGGGCCCACTTGTTATACATCTGCTACAGCTGCAATAACTTTCTTGTAGATTTCAATTCCACGCAGATAAGTATCTGCACGCAAATATTCATTGTGATCGTGCAGCAAGATGGGCGTATTGTTAATAGGCGAAAAGCCCAAGGCCGGAATGCCAAACGATCGCAGGAATCGGCTGTCCGTGGCACCTGGGAAAACGCGTTGACGGGTTGACACACCGCTGAAAAGGTTTAATGGTATCACAAAGTCGAGACTGAAGGAAATTAATGTCTTGTTACATACAGTTCGTCCATAGCTTTCTTAAAGGCCAACCAATATGGATTTGATGCATTGATTCTGGTTGGAGCTACATACGGTTCCTTCCACTCGAACACTAACTCAATGCCATCTCCTGCTTCGGCGCACCAATCGCGAATTCGCTTCTCGAGCGCATCCAAATCCTCTGTTATGGCAACTCGAATATCAAAGACTGCTTCCAATAAAGGAGGCACCACATTGCTTTGGACACCTCCGTGCAGTTGGGTTAGGTTAACGGTAGTAACATCTCCAATGTCCATATTCAAGTCTTCTTCGAGTCGTTTCACCTGTGACTCACGGAATTCCATCAATTTATTCAAAACATAGTTGAGCTTCTGGCCAGCGGTGTTGGGTAGGAGTAGAGAACCGTGTCCAGCAGTTCCACTGATCTTAAGCCTTAAATCTGAAGGAAACTTGTTCGTATATAACGCAATGGAGACTGCCTGCTACTTACGCCATACAGTCCGCTCGGCATAGAACACGGCGTAGGTTTCATCTTCACTGGAAATGCCCTCGTCTAAGCTGAATCCCACGTTTAGTTTCCTGAAGTAATCACTCTTAATTAGATTGGCCATTCCCGGTGTAACGCCACCCTCCTCATCCGGCACAAAGGTGAGAATTACTGTTCTCTTTGGCTGGTGGCCGTTAGCTTTTAGAGAGCGAATAGCCCCCAGGTATTGGGTTGCAACACTCTTCATGTCCTGAGAGCCTCGACCAAAAATGCGGCCTTCATCATCCAGATCGGCATTGAAAGGTTCGTGTGTCCACTTGTCCGGGAATACCGGAACAACGTCCATGTGTGAATTCAATACAATGGAAGGAAGCTCAGGCTGTTTGCCTAACCACTTTATAACAACGACAGGATTCAATCCGGCATAGACAACAACTACTGGTAGCCCCAGATCAGCTGCCTGACGTTTCAAGAATTCCACACAAGCAGCTGTACGGCTCAAAAAGATACGATTTTCATTAAAACTCTGAATATTTCCACGATCTCTTCAACTTACTGTAATCTACATTTGGGTGTACCGATGGAATGCGTAAGTATTCACGGAATATTTTAATTTCTTCATTGTTTTCCCACTGAGACTTATTCATTTTGAAATAAGAGTATAGTATGTGCACAGCCCTACAAGGTTGATGTAAGTTTGCCAAAAAATTGTATATCAGTCTTCCTTAAATACCCAGAGCTCTGTTAAATGGCGGCCTAGTCCCTGAAAATGTGGTTAACTTGTTATCTGAAATTATGTTGTGGTTATTTATCAAAACTTATGATAGTTCGGGTCTTTCCTGTAGCTATTTCTATTCCAATTAAAGTAGACCTTTAAGGAGAATGTACCGCCAAAGCTACTTATATATATATATTTTAAAAAATATACCCATTTAAAAAGGAAAGAACATACGTAGCGATATACAAGCATTATTTAGGAAAACTAGTTCAAATCCTATGCATAGATTTTTTCAATCTATTCCGAAATATCTTCTCACATATCTGTAGAGCCGTAAGCTCTCGTACACAATGCGAATAAAATCATCGCCGTGCTGAAGATGGTTTTCTTTCTTGTTTTGATATAAACAAATAAAAATTCCATTCGTATTCATAGTTTAAAAATAATCAACGTTTGTATATTAATAGATTTCCGCGCTGTCCCAGTCAATTTATTTATATATATTAAATTGCTTTTGTAATTTAATCGAATTCTCATAGCATGGTTATATATAATAAATTAAATTACTTTTAACAATATAAAATGAAGTGGAATTTAAAATCTAAGTAAGCTGTTTACTGTTTTTACAAAGTTTTTATTCCAGTTGCCTATTTGAAGTAGTAAAGCTGGATTAGTGCGAAGAATGTTTTCCAGAATCATAAATATTATTTTTACGTGCATGTTTGTACGTTATTAAGTAAGAATATATATTACGGCAATTCAGAGCAGGCACAAAGTTTTACTTAACATGATTATATACCAACTATTAATATCAAAAACTAAGATAACAGTACAGAGTTATCGTTTTGATATGCACATGTACGAGTTAAATGCAAATTCATGGCAATTTAATTTATTAGGCATGATAGGCAGAAAAACACATATAGTACATATGTGAACGTTTCTATAGATCTAAAAACATTATTTTAATATTGGCAGCCAAATCGAGTAGAAAATGCACGGAAGCCCGTATTTCGTTTAAACATTGACAACAGCTGATATAAGCTTCTTGTAAACCTCAATGCCATTCAGATAGGTATCCGCGCGCAGAAATTCATCATGATCATGCAACAGTAAAGGGGTCTTATTGATTGGCGAAAATCCCAAAGCCGGAATGCCTGCATACCGGACGTATCGGCTATCGGTGGCGCCAGGGAACACGCGGTATCGTGTTTTTAGACCTCTGTAAGAGCACAATAAAACATCAAATCATATTTCGTCGAGCCCAATCATACATACACTTCGTCTAATGCTTTCTTAAAAGCCACCCAATATATATTCGATTCGTCTATCTTGGTCGGCTCTACATATGGGTTTTTCATCTCAAAGTCCAGTTCAATGCCGCCGCCAGCCTCTGCGCACCAGTCGCGAATTTGCTTCTCGAAGGCATCTACATCGACAGTTATAGCGATTCGAATATCAAAGACAACCTCTAGCAAGGGTGGTACTACATTGCTTTGCACTCCTCCACGTAGTTGTGTCAGGTTAACGGTGGTTACATCGCCAATGTCAATGTTGGTGTCTTCCTTAAGTCGTTTCACCTGTGATTCACGGAACTCCATCATTTTATTCACAATGTAATGCAGCTTCTGGCCAGCTGTGTTGGGTAACAACAGGGAACCGTGACCCGCAGTTCCACTGATCTTAAGCTTGAGATCTGAAATAACATTCATGGTGATATTTGCTTTATGGAAAGTTGTATCTGACTTACGCCACAATGTTCTTTCGGCATAGTAAACGGCGTAGGTTTCATCCTCACTGGAGATACCCTCGTCAAAGCTGAATCCCACATTTAGTTTCTTGAAGTAATCACCCTTCACCAACTCGCGCATGCCTAGATGACCCCCAACCTCTTCATCAGGCACATAGGTAAGGTAAACAGTACGCTTTGGCTGGAAGCCGCTGGCTTTGAGGGCGCGAATGGCACCCAGATATTGAGTTCCAACGCACTTCATGTCCTGCGAGCCACGCGCATAAATGCGACCTTCGTCATCTAGATCGGCGCTGAAAGGTCCGTGGGTCCACTTGTCAGCGAAAACAGGCACAACATCGGTGTGGGAGTTCAGAATAATAGAAGGTAATTCAGGCTCCTTGCCTAGCCATTTCATTACCACGACGGGATTGGATTCGTTAACAGGATAAAGAACATCCACCGGCAGTCCCAGGCTGTCTGCCTGACGTTTCAAGAATTCTACACAAGCGGCTGTAAAACGCAGACAGTTAATTTTTATAGCATGAGTAAAATTGCTTATCTTTTTGCACTTTTTGTAGTTTTTACGATGTTTACAATCTCACAAAACTTACTGTAATCCACATTTGGATGCACTGTTGGAATACGCAGGTATTCGCGGAAAATTTTAATTTCCTCATTGTTTTCCCACTCAGACTTGCTCATTTCAAACAGATTCTGCGTATATTAAACGTGGTATATATTTTTAATGGAATGTCAAACTTAATGTATATATTTCGAATGGAATGTGAATCTACAAATGTGCGAATTTTGATATTTGCCAAACAGCTGACTTTTGTGGCGGCATCAGCTGTTCACAGCCTCAAAATACCTTCTCAACACTGGCAGCGATCGTCGACGACTGCGCTCGTTCGGGCGCACAACTTTATAAATACGCCCGTAAAATCCAATTGCCAGACGATATTATCTCAGTTCTGAGGTTTTCGCAGCTTATCAGCTTTAAATTCAGGCATATTTCCATTAACTTTATTGTTTGTTTGTTTATAGTTTGGTCGCGGTTTATCAGCAACGTTTGTTTACAATTCGCCTGCTAATCTATGCATAGAGTATTACTGACCTCTTTTGGCTCTTAAAAGCGTATAAATACGAGTGCCTACGGGAAATATTGGCGCACTCGCTGCAGTTCACTGTAGCTGTGCATGTTGTGTTGGTTTTCTCGATTTGCCGGTGGCACTTGCATTGGCTTAGTGTTAAATTTATATTGTACGAGTACATTCCACTTGAATTCCTAATCTGCAGGCGTTGCACACACAAACACGCACACACACACACATACATACATACACTTATGCATATCCGGACATGAGCATCTAGTCCGAACGTGTGGCATGTAAACAAGTAGTTGTAGTTGTTGTTATACCCGCTGCTGCTGCTGATGCAGATGCTGATACGAGTACTGTTGATGTTGTTGCCGTGCTTAGCTACTGCCAACCCGCCCCACCCCCAAACCTCAACTGTCGGTGCATTCGTGTGTGTTTGTTTTCGGTTTGTTTCGTTATGTATGTATGTGTGCGTCAGATTTCACGCTTATTTCAATGGGCGCAAATTGCTGTACACAAAAGTTGCACGAAGCAAAACTGAAATGTCGAGATTCGTACAGCTCGTAGACATCAGTTGAGCTTTGTGTGTGTGTGTGTGTGTATGTTATCTTCTGGGCATAAACATACACATGCACATATGTATGTTTGTGCCATCAGAAAAAGTCATTAAAAGTTCATTAACAATGTTGCAAGGATTTTAATGGCAGACACTGCGCCACCAACTACAGCGACTACTATGTCAGCAACACATGTCTACATTTCAAATGACAATAAGACACAAACACACACACACACACACACACACACACACAAAGATAAGTCAAACATGTCCAACAATACAAAGTCATGCATACGCGACATTGTACGTACATATATGTACATATGTATTCATATACATTTGTATGCATGAGTATGTGTATTTCATTAAAATGTCTGTAATTGTTGTGGGTGTGTTTGTTTTCGCGGCGCAAACAAACTATATCATTGTATTTTTTAACAATTATCCAGTCAACAGAGCATGTATGCATATATGTATATACATTTGCCCACGGCATTAAGAGCTATTGAAATCCTAGCAACTTATCCTTTAAGGTTCGCCTGTCTCAAGCTAAAGTTGTTATAATCGATAGCACTCACTATGCATTGTTCCAGACATTTCAGTCTTTACTCTTTTCACATTTCCCAGCATCTATGTGACAATACCTTCTGTACATAAAGCAAAGCCCAAGCATATGCTCTAAGGCGCACTTTTCCATATTAGAGCTGGGCGCGTGTCATTTTTCCTTTTCTGATGCGAGCACGCGCGAACTTTAAATTGAATTTCGTGCATTTTCAATAGAAGGACACATACTACAAAAAAATAAATAAAAATCAGCTCGATTTACTATCGATGAATATAATAATATAATTTTGCATAAGCCAATAAAAAAAAGTTGCCCTTGGTTGGTTTTCCAATATACACAAAAGTTTCTGTTAAAAGAAATCTATAACTTGGGCATATCAGATGTATAAATGTTATAAGAACTCAAATTGTCACGTACTATATTATTCATTAAGCGAAAATGAATTAAATTTACATGAGAATGTTAAAACACATGCTTAAAAAAGCATGTGGATATACTCAAAAGATTTTTCAAGGCGTTAAATAAATGAGTTATGAGCTGGCCTTAAATATCGCCCTGATGGATATGCATATTTACCTAGGTATTTACAGCAGTAAGGAAAAAAGTAAAATGCCATGAATATATTTGCCATATGCAGTCTACTTTTTAATACATATTCATATTTCAATTTGTCAATGTCAATTTGCAGAGCAACTGAGTTGTATGTGGATAATATGGTAAAATTTATAATTTGAATTTAAAAGTGCAATGATTTAGACTTAAAAATAAACAACTTAAAATAAAATGTGATGTTCATTATTTAATTAGGGCCTTGATATGTTAAGTTATACTTAAGCTGAGATAAAAAATTGCCAAAAAAAAAATTAAGAAAACAGAGCTTTGGTCTCTGATCGCTTTCAATATTTATGGCTATGCAGAGGTCCCTAATATCCTGTCAAGCGGTTTGCACCCGAATTAAAAGAATATGTCCTTTTAC